AAAGGACCAAAACTGTTTCTCTTATGGCTGCAACCATCATGATAGTCACCTTGAGGACAGATGCATCAAAAACTGATATACCTGTTGTCAACCGATGATTCACATTTTTAAAAAAAACTCTGGGCAGACGACCTAAATATTCTCTTCAGAGAGTCATCACAAAACTGCCACCACCAATATCCATCAATGAATCACTCCCACCAACATACCAGCATCCTTCAAAGCAATGGGATCCTACAGATGGCTACACACCAGGACACTTAAATCTCAAATCTCTAGATCAAACATGTTTTTAATGTTTTTAATTACTTTAAATTGTATTTAAATGTTGCACACCACCTGAGCCCCAAGTATTGGGGGAGCGGCCTAAAAATCGAATTTATAAATAAACATCTAACTAAAGATCTGTTATGTACACCCTTGTTCCTTGTCCGTCACAGAAATTGCCCTGAAGAATAAGCATCACAATTTACAAGATGCCATAGTAAGAATTACCTTTGATGCAACTATCTTCCACCATAGAAGTGAACTGTACGCAGGTCTAAGGATGCAATCCTAAACTCACATTCCTGGAAGAAAGTCTCATAGAACCTCAAAAGAAGGTGGCTTAGTACTGCTTTGTAAGCAATAAAGAGTAGCATGTAAAAATCAGGCCAAGCAGACCTTGCCAAAGCACAGATTTGGCTATCTTATTCTGCCTGAAGAGAGGATTAATTCAGGTCTGCTGCTTCTTCAGACAACACAAAGCGGGTCAAAACCAGGCATCGTGTCATACAAATACAGACAGGCATGGGCCACCAGTGAAAGAAGTTAAGAGGTTGCTCAAACTCTTTGAAAGTTGACTCCTTCAGGATTCTCAACACACTCTAGCTTCAGGTCCTTCCAAATCCAACTATAATGCTGCCAGACTCCAGATGGTAAATGGAGATATCCTGCCAGGAGTCATTTCGTAGAAAAAGAAGTGCAGGAGCTCATTAGCATAACTCATTAGAATAACTTATTTGTATATGCCACACCCCCTGACACGGGAAGTGTGTCAGAAGGCAACACCCACCGCTCAGGCTCCACTGGACTATTTTGGATTGCTAGCTATTGGGGGGGGGGGGGAAAGGCGCAGATTTGTCCTCACAGAGGAGGGAAAGCTTGTACCTGAATAAAAATTGGTCTTAAAGGTGCCACTGGACTGTTTTGGACCAGGGGGCAGGGGGGCTCTGCAATTTACCTGGCTGCTTCTTGTTCTGACTGAGGGCTGCTGGGAGCAGGGGGTGGGGCTTGTTGAATGTGCCCGCCCCCTGGGCTCTTTACTGCCGTAGCTCTGCTCCTGTGTGCTCCTGCAGGAAATGACCCCTGATTACAACTGATCTCCAGGCGACAGAGATCAGTTCACCTGGAGAAAATCGCCAGTTTAGAATGTGGATTCTATGGCACTGAAGTCCCTCCCCTCCCCAAACCCCATCCTCCTCAGGCTCCACCCCCAAAACCTCCAGTTAGTTCCCATCCCAGAGCTGGCAACCCTACCCATCCGCAAACTATCTGTCCCATGAAGGTGAACATGCAGAAAGTGCTCCCAACAAATGCAACTATCTGTGACAGGCAGGCAGAGAGAAACATAAAAGAGGCCCACAGGCTCTTCACCTGCACTGGAATCCTCATTGCCTCATCGCCTCTTTCTGCCACCAGGGCCCGGAGGGATCTTATGCAATTCCGCAGGGCCTGCAAGGCAGAGATGTTCCACCAGGCTTTTGGCTGAGGACGGCAATGGTTTTCATCGTGGTTGGCACCCCCCCCCCCAATTTTGAATTTGTGCTTCCTTTCCCCCCTGCCCAGAAAATGGCCAGGCAGTCCAGAACTGGGATGTAATTTTTAAGGACACCATCTGGGACTTCTTTTAAACTGGTCTTCTTCAAATTGTCATTCTATTTTGACATATTTGAATTAATAAATCAAATTAACAACAATAATAATGTCACCTCAGGGCAGTTTCACCTGTTCCTTCTCTGAAGAAAGTCAGAAGCCAGCTTCTGTCAGCTGTGGCCATCCTCCCCTTTGCATGCAAACTCTGGGAACATGTACAGCAGGGTTCCCTAACATGGTGCCTGTGGGCGCCATGTTGACCACAGAAAAACCGACAGAGTGTTTTTAGAATGCGGGTGGGTCCAGATGGGGCTCTTGCCCAGCATGGCTTCTGACTGGCCACCGAAAATCTGATTGGCTATGCAGATTAAAACAACGGTGTTTGGGAGGCAGCTGTCTTGAAGTGTTGGTTTTATTCCCTCTCACTCCTCTTTCCCAGTGCAGTTTTTTTAAAAAATCACCCCTCTTCTCTCTTGCACTGGGGCTCCCTCTGTGTAGTTGGGTCTGCCTCCTCAGACAGATATTTTATGGCTGAGCCCACCACCTTATGTCAGAATTCCAAAGGCACCCACAGGCTCAAAAAGCTCGGAGACCCCCGATATACAGTCATGAGTGAAGAAGTCACATCTCTGACAGCCCGCAGGTAGTGTTTGGCCAAGCGGACATCCTCCGTGTCCTCTCATGAAGCCTGCTCTTGCACTGTGTATCAAGACTAAAAACTCAGTGCCTGAAAAAGTATGGGAGAGGACTATTGGGGAAGCCCACATGTATCCCAGGGAAAATGGGGCTTTGCTCAGACAGTAGCTGAGGGAAACGGTGCAGAGCTGAAGCCCCTTTTCCACACATACTGTGGTCCTGATCCAGTTTGGGGTCGACAGAAAACTTGGTTTAGTGGTTAGAATGAGGGATCTGGGAGACCCAGGTTCGAATCCCCACACTACCACGGAAATTTGCTGGGTGAGCCTGGGCCAGTCATGCACTCTCAGCCTAACCTACCGCACAGGATAAAATGGAGGGCAGGAGAATGACGCAAGACACTCTGAGTCCCCACCAGAGAGAAAGGAGAGGTACCAATGAAGTAAATATATAAATAATTGGTCACAGCATGCGCAGGAATTGAGGAGAACCCCCAACTCAAATGTACTTGTGTTACATTTGACACAATACCCAGAACCAACCTGCGTACCCCTGTAGTGTGTGAAGAGGCCAAGCTCCCCTAACTCAAACTTTGACAAACAGCCACGATTTCACATTTAATACAGAGGTTACTCAATAGGGCCTCTCTGACAAAAGTCCTGGCGCCCCAGCCAAGAAGCAGGGCTGGGTTGCAAAGAGGGCAGGCGAACACCATGGTGCGATCAGGGTGTTCTTTGAAAGACTGGACAATACTGTGTGATGTAATCATAAATGGGCACCGCATCCTTTTTTCACCCCTCAGAACACTGTGACAAGGGCTCTCGCACTAAGGAACGTGGGCGGCCACCACACAATTAACACCTGGAGAACAGTGAGCATCAAAGCCTGCAAGGAAAAACTTGTAACGAATGCTGAACAGAACAGACAGGGACACCTGCCCACTAATATATGCCTCTGGGCTTTTTGGCCTGTGGTTTGGGCACCCGGTTGAAAGTTAACCTGACCGTGGGTTGTTTTTTCAGACATGTGTATGGGGGATGGAGAGAGAAGAGCTGTTACCTCAGAGCTAGGTATCTGCGATGTGTACACAGTGTTTTAAAAAAAAACTGTATACAAAGTGCATACAGTTAAGCAAATTCATATGAGTAAAAAAAATGTTTTGATTTTTTCATGGGAGCAGACTATACTTTTGGGGATCAAACACTGCTCCTTTTCCCCCTTTCCACATACCACAGTGAACCTGTTTGAAGCAATTTGTGGATTTTAAGCATATCGACCAACAGAGTCACCAGTGCAAAGCATTTGTCCCTATCAATTACATTTTTGTCTGCTCGTCTTCTGAGGAGCTTGGGGTAGAGTACGAGGTTTTCCCCTCCTCCCTTTTATCTGCACAACAACCTCAGGAGGAAGATTATTCTGAGAGGGACAAATTGTGCAATCCTGGTGCAGAGTTACTCCAGCCAAAGCCTGCTGAAATCAGTGGGCTTAGACAGGAGTAACTCTACAAAAGGACTGCTCTGACCCAAGGTCAATCACAGTGTCATCCTAAACAGAGTTTTACCCTTCCAAGCCCATTGACTTCAACAGACGTAAACAGGTGTAACTCTGCTTAGGACGGTGCTTCCAATGAGATTCATGGCAAAATGTGTGGATTTGAATCCAGGTCTCCCTGGTCCTAGTCTAATACTCTAAACCACTTTACCACACTGCTTCTCTCATTTAGGCTCCAATAGTCTTTCACAGGGCAAGGTGCTACATGGTGGGGACTCTTTGTTTCCAGAGCTTTGAGTGTTACGCTTCAACAAAGTGGCCGGGTTTGCTAGGTGCTGAATGTATTAATAAGTTTGCTTCACACCCAGTAACACAATACAGGGCAGGACCAGTGCACGGAGCTCCAGTAAAAATGTGCAACATTTCTTTCCTGCGCACGCAGTCGCTGTCAGCAGCAACCCACCAGAACTACTTCTGTTCCACCTCCGCCGACTGTGGGCAGTTACTGCTGCAAAAGCACACCACCTTCAGAGGCCTCTGCCAGCAGCCTGCCCAGCATTATATAAACTAGTGGGTGGATGACACCGTACTTAACCTAGTTACCTAGTAAACTATTTCAGTAAATGCTAGAGCTGCCCAGCAACCTCCCCAGGGTGGCAGGTATGAGGGCACCCTGCTGAGTGCTGGATGTGTTAAAAAAGGGACAGCCCCAATTTGCCCAGGGAAAGAGAAGAGGAAAACAATGCAATTGGGTTTGGCAGGACAAGTTTATAGGGGTTGAGCAAACAGTCCTTGCTAGGTTACCCAAGCAAGTCTTCATATCTGAACCAAGGCACTTCTCACAAGTCGTGGCCAAGTCCTTTGAAATGAGGCTGTAGCACTAAGTGTTAGTACCTGTACACAAATGAAGCTGCCTTATACTGAATCAAACCACTGGTCCACCAAGGTCAATATTGTCTACTTAGACTGGAAGTGGCTCTGCAGGGTCTCGGCCAAAGGCCTTTCACATCACCTACAACTGGAGCTGCCAGGGACCGAACCAGGGACCTTCTGCATGATAAGCAGATGTTCTTCCACTGAGCCACAGTCCCTTCCCAATGTGATATATGCTCTCATGTGCCAACAATGCCCCTCTGCCCTGTACATAGGACAAACCAGCCAACCTCTGTGCAAAAGAATAAATGGACACAAATCTGACATCAAAAGTGGCAATATCCAGAAACCAGTGGGAAAACACTTCGATCTACCAGGACATTCCATCAAGGACTTAAAGGTCCCCATAGTTCAACAAACATTTCAAAACCAAAATCCGATGGGAAGCTGCTGAATTGGAATGTATATGTAAATCTGACTCAGACTTGGATTGAATAGAGACTTTGGATGGTTATCTCATACTTCTCAGGTATTCCATTCAGATTCATTAATAGAAGGAAGGGGTCACACCCTACCTTTTTCATGACTTTTGCAACTGCTTTGCATTTACATGGCACTTTCTACATCCTCGCCCCCCTCCCCTTACCACCTATATATCTCTGGCCAGTTTCTTCATACCCTCCATGCATCTCGAAAGCTTATGCTACAATAAAGTTTGTTAGTTATAAAGGTGCTACTGGACTTTTTTCTATTTTGCAGCAACATACTAAAATGGCTAACTCCTCTGGATTTATCCCCTTTGTATGGCCCTGGCTAGTATTTGGATGGGCAACCTCCAAGGAATACTAGGGGTGAGATGCAGAGGCAGGCAATGGAAAACCACCTCTGAAATTTCTCTTGCCTTAAAAACAAGTCTATCTTACCACCTAGTGGTGCATAACGCTAAAGAGCTAGAACTTCTGGCTGCCAGACAATCTTAGGATCTCCTGGCTATACTACACACACTGCCATACAATAATTATTAGTATTATTACTATTTTGGAAATCTTGTCAGTCTTTAAGGTGCTATTAGGCTTGAATCTTTCTGCCATAAACTGAGACCAGTATGATCGACTCTGACTGGCATCAGTTCTCCAGGGTCTCAGGTGGAAGTCTTTCACATCACCTGCTACCTGATCCTTTTAACTGAAGATGCCACATGCTTGGGATTGAACCTGGGACTTTCTGCATGCCGAGCAGATGCTCAGCCACTGAGCCACATTCCCTCCCTGTTCATTTTGTAATTCCATTAACTGAAGATGGTTAAGCAGGACAACAGTTATGAAGGATGGTTTTTGTGTTGAAAATGTATAATTCCTGAAATCAATCGGATATGAGGTATGACTAATTTTTTTCTGTATTACATTGTGGATAAAGAGCTCTCCTCCCTTCCCCCATATAAGAAAACGATATCACTTAGCATAAGTGGAAATAAAACAACTGTCTGCAAAAGAATTTGTACATTCACACCAAATCAGACAGTCTGTTCCTCTATCTCAGTACTTACTACTATGATCTCAAAGATTCTAATCCCTGTTACCTGAAACCTTTTAACTGTTGATGCGAGCTATTGAACCTGGGACCTTCAGCATGCCAAGCAGGTGCTCTGCCACTACGCTACAGATGCTCATAAATTGTCTCAAGAGCATCACAACTAATCAATGTGAAAAGCTTCTCAGCAGCCCAGGAGTGAGGTCCAAGGCCTTGTACAAGTGGGGACCTATCTTGGTCAGAAGGTCCACAAGTGTGGTGGAGACAAAAGCATCTTGACTTGAAGGTATTCAGGAAACCATTTGTGTGTTCTACCGGCTTTTATTCACATGTAGGTACTTAACTTCATGGCAAGTGGAATAACAAAGAATGGAAAATAAACAGTCTTAGCAGTCATGGTCACCTGAAGGCAGTTTCTCTTCAGAGTAACTGAAATCGACTTTCACCAGGTGCACATTGTGCCACACATAGGCCCACGAAGAGTCACCCTCAGAAGGCATATCATTGGTCAGGACAGAACTGGGGGGGGTCATTATATAGGCTCTTGGCAAACAACTGAGGCAGGTACCTCTGAGTCACTGAGAGCAAACCTAAGCAGGTTTATTCAGAAGCAATGCTCCCTCTAAGCTGTGAAGTCACGTGAGCAAAAATTGGCATTACTACAGGCATTAAAATTGTGAGTGAGAAATTTGGCTACTGCATAAATTAGTTTGCTCTGGAGCCATCCTTCCTGACCTAAGACAAAAATGTGTGAGCCGGAGGCTAAAAGACTGAGATAGCTCACACTAACTCAGCTTAGAGAGAACACTGCTCAGAAGTAAGTTATCTATTAACCAATGGAGATTACTTCTAGGAAAATGTTTTTAGGATTGTAGTCCAAATCTCTCCCGCCACTCACTCCAGCCCTCTGGAAGGAAAAAAATTGTAAAACAGCTGCTAAGATGCTGGCACTTAGGGATTTTTCCACTCCAAAAGAGACATCCCCCATATTTACAAATTCAGGATTATTATATTTAATCATATATTTTCTCTATTAAAAATAAAATTCAAACTTGGTCAAGAAAACAAGCAAACAAAACAGCTAGAGATGTACCTCCTCCAACTTATACAATGTCAAGAAACAGAACACACACACACCCCCCAGAATATTAGAACACCCGTCTGGTTCCATATTCACCATCTCTAACCTCATCATGAATCATACCACACCCAAAAAGGGCATGCTGAAAGTGTGAGGGAAAAGGAAACCTGTTGCCTTCCACCCTTTTAAGTTGCATAAGAGTTGCCAGATTTTTGACAGGCCGGGACTAGGCCCTCTTCCATGGTCAACTGACTGACACACAGAAACCAAAAAGATGAAACTTTCCCCATCTCTGAGCTCCATGCTAGGAGAAACAGTACCCACTACGTTTCATCTATTAAAAAGGACCAAGCAATAGAAGGGGCACTTCCTGCTCTCCCTGTACTGTTCCACTCAGCCATGTTGTTCTCCTTCCTACTGTGGTGACATTTTGCCTCACAGCAGGTGTAGAAGACAATGGTGGGTGAGAGGACCAGTGAAAAGACAGATGATTGCATCTTCTCTCGATGCTGTGGAAGTGTATGAAGATACAGGCGCCATCTTGGGATGAGGATTTAAGAAGGGAAGAAGAGGAGATTGGATTTATACCCCGCCCTTCACTACCCAAAGGAGTCTCAGAGCAGCTTACAAACTCCTTCCCCTTCCCTTCCCCACAACAGACACTCTGTGAGGTAGGTGGGGCTGAGAGAACTCTGACAGAAACTGCTCTTTTTCAAGAACAGCTGTGTCAGAATTATGGCTTGCCCAAGGTCATCCAGCCAGGCGCAAGTGGAGGAGTGGGGAATCAAACCTGGTACTCCCAGATTAGAGTCTGCGCACTTAACCACTACACCAAACTGGCTCTTAATGTCACCCTCCCCGCTCAGCTACAGGGCAAACAGGTAAATTTTTAAAAAGAATGTTACAGGATAACTGAACTACATTAAGTGA